GCATGGCCTCCCTGCCTGGCACCATCACCGTTTGCTTGAGGTGCCCTTGGAGCCACTGGCCGCTGACTCTGCCTATCTCTGTGACGGTGCTGAGTGCTGGAGATACAAAGGTAAGTGAGATGGGCAGGTGGGTTGTTCATTCGGTTAAGTGGCTGCTCAGCTCATGATCTCAGAGTCCTGGGATCAAGCCCCATGCGAGACTCCCTGCTCAGCAGGGAGTCTGCTTGTCCCTCTCCCTCTGCCCCTCCTACCCCTGCTTGTGTGCTCTCTCTCTCTCTCTAATAAGTAAATGAATTGATTAAAGACACAAACAAACAAAAAACAAAGGCAAATGAGATGCATTAATCTTTGCCTTTGAGGATCTCAGTTTAAAGAGACAGAGAGAAAGAATAAATAACATAAAATATGCCCTCTGGGCTCCAGGGCCCTGACTGCCTTGTTCACCCTTGAACTCTTGTCTAGGCCATACTGCAGGAGAAACATTGGTTGGATAACTAAGCAGATGGATGAATGGAGAGTACTAAAGGAACACAGTAGAGGGATTAAGGAAGGCTTTGTAGAGGCAATACTGACTAATGGGTTAGAAAGAGGTAGCCAGGCACAGCAGACTGGGGAAAGTATTGCGGAAAGAGAAAGGGCAAGGTTGGCTCAGGTTTGCAGAAACTGACTACACCTGGATTTAGAGGGTGGTGGAGGAGGTGGTGAGGGGTGAGATGAGTCCCAAGATGAAGAACTTCATATGCACAGTTAACTAAGTTAAGATTCTATCCTAGAATCAATGGAGAGTCATTTTTTAAAAAGATGTTATCATTTATTTGAGAGAGAGACATACAATGCGAGCGAACATGGGGGAGGAGCAGCGGGAGAGAGCAGCGGGAGAGAGACAAGGAGACTGTTCGCTGAGTGCAGAGCCTGATGCAGGGTTTGATCCCAGGACCCTGAGATCAGGACCTGAGCCAAAACCAAGAATTGGACACTTAACTGACTGAGCCACGCAGGCACTGCCGAGGGAGATTCAGTTTTAAGCAGATAAGTATCATTATGGTATTTGTCACATAGAAAGATCAATCTGAGAACATAATGGAGGACCAGTTGGTATACAATGGCTAATACTGGAAGCAAGAAGGCCAGTTAGAGATTGGTGAATAACTAGGTTAGGGGCTATACGAGTCTGAACTAAGGCATTGATACTACAAAGTGAAGAGAGGGGAGAGGGAGTTAAGAGATAGGCGTAGATGGACAGGAGTTGAGGACAAACCGAATGTGAGGGTTGAGACAGGGGGATCAGAGGATAATCTGACCAAGTTACTGCTTGAGGCAACTGGGTAGGTGGTGGAACCGTTCATCAAGATGCGGAGCATGAGCGAAGGTGGTCTACGGATGGGGTGAGGGGCTGGAGAAAACTGCATTTACATTTCAAGTGTGAGGTGTCAAGCAACTCATTAGCAAGCAATTGGATGTGTGGGACTAGAGTTCAGGAAAACCATTTGGGAAGGAGAAGTAGATTTGGGGGGCATTAAGGCATAGTGATAATGGAAGCCACCTTCAGTCTGGAGAAGACTATATTCCTATGTACTTGGGAAGCAGCTGGGGAGAAGTTATTATAAAATATCATCAAGATGGTACTTAGGAAGGTCAGTTTTGTGGATAGACAGCAAGGGTGGCTGACGGTCTTCTCCCAGGGTGGGAAAGGAGCTGAATTTCTCATCTCCATTTTTGATGTTTCTGTGGGGTCAACTAACTGCTCTGAGATGAATCATTTTGGAAGGGAAAGGAAGCAAGAGTAGAAGCAGGCTGTAACAGGCTGGCCTTTGCTTGTTTCATCTAACAGTATTAAGTACCAAAACCCAAAACAAACACTCTAACTATACCCAACCCCTAGGCATTTGTATAGCAGAAGGATAGTTTAGGGCATGGTGCTCTTCCAAGAATCTGATTATCCATTAGTAACACACCTACATCAAAAAATCACCATGTGAATTCAGCTTCTGAGCTAACCCATACACTCCATGGACTGAAATGGTAGAATAAATATAAACAGAACCAAAAATAAATAAATAAATGAAAGGTTAGGTGGGCTCAAAAATAAGATGAAATCACTTTGGACCAGAAAAGGAATATAAATACATAATAGTTGTCTGACTGATGCCACCCATCTGCTTTGCTCTGAGCCTAGATGGAGGGGATGGTGTCTCTGAGTTTTTTTTTTTTTTAAAGATTTTATTTATTTATTTATTTGACAGAGAGAGAGAGAGAGAGAGAGAGAGAGATCACAAGTGGGCAGAAAGGCAGGCAGAGAGAGAGGAGGAAGCAGGCTCCCTGCTGAGCAGAGAGCCCGACGTGGGCCTGGATCCCAGGACCCTGAGATCATGACCTGAGCTGAAGGCAAAGGCTTAACCCACTGAGCCACCCAGGCGCCCGGTGTCTGTGAGTTTAACTTTTCTATCGTAATAGGAACTAAAAAGTGCTTCCTGTTAGATGTGGGCCAAAATCCAGGCTGAGATCTTAAAACAAGAGTGAGAGGGGGACACTGCCCCTGTAGACCTCACCTCCAGACCAGGAACTCCCCAGGGCCGCCAGCATCCCCTTCAGGAAGGCTGGGATGTCCTATTTCTGGACTCAGTTTCAGGGTGGGGGGCAGGGGCAGAGTTAACCAAAAAACTACTAGGCTGAGAGGAGTAGGGATAAAGGGGGTGGGTGAAGGATGAAATTTCCCATTCAAAAGGAACTCAAGACCAAATATCCAAAATATATGGAGAAAATGAACATTAAGATACAAACACAATCGATAATTAGAACATAACATGAATTTACTTCAAATAATACCAATTTTATAGAGAATTTTGACAAAGTTTTAAAAATCAGTATATTAAAGATATTAAAAAAATAAAAAGACATGATATCGATAAGGAAAGGATAAATTAGGAAACACAAACATGAAGATATGAAACAAAAAGAGATGGGTATAGGGGCACCCGGGTGGCTCAGTCATTAAGCATCTGCTTTCGGCTCAGGTCATGATCCGAGGGTCCTGGGGTCCAGCCCTGCATCAGGTTTCCTGCTCAGCAGGAAGCCTACTTCTCCCTCTCCCACTCCCCCTGCTTGTGTGTTCCCTCTTTCGCTATCTTTCTCTCTCTGTCAAATAATAAATAAAAAATCTTAAAAGAGAGATGGGTATAAAGAAGAAATATTTTTAAAATTTTAAAGTAAGGTATTTAAATTTAAAAAACCCTAAAATAATAGATGAACTGAACTTCAAACTAAATACAGAGAATAAATTGGAGGAATGGAATAAAGTATTGAGGAATTAACCTAGTATAAACCACAGAGAGTCAAAGAAATAAAAATATGAAATAGTAGGTGGGAAACAGAGAGAGCAGGAAAGTTTGAGTGACATTAAATAAGGAATTCCCAAGAAGGAGATCAGAGGAAAGGGTGGAGACACAACATTCGGAGGTCTAATAATAGCAAATTTTCCAGTTTGCAAAAAGACTTTAGGATTTGTTTGTTTTGTGTTCATTCAGCAAACTAAATGAGCGCTTACTATGTGTTACAGTCTAGACTAGAACAGAGTATACAAAATAAATGTGGCACAGTCCGAGCCCTGAGGGTCTCACAATTACTAGGAGAGATGGACATGATTAAAATTAATGTAAAAAGAGCTATGATAAAACAGTATGTTACAGAATCAAGAGTAAGGAAGAGCATTTCTGAGAGGATTAAGAAAAACTTGCCCCCCCCAAAAGAAAAGCTTCCCAGAGTAGATGACGCCCAAACTGGGCATTCTAAGTTGAGCTTTCCCTACGGCGTTGTTCTCCAGGAAGAGGAAGCATGTAGACAAAAGGTGCAGAGGCGTGAAAGTATGACGTGTTTGGTGGTGCTGAGTGGCTCTAGGTTCTATAATACATGGAAGGAGAGGCAAGGTCCTAAGCTAAAATGACTGGCTGGGGAAAAACTTGAATCACCTTTTAAAAATTAAAAAAAATTATTGGATTTATTGGAAGGATGACAAGTAAATGTATAGATTGCTGAGATAGACCATATTCATAAATCTGATGACTCAGGATCATAACGATGGATTCCCCTCCCCCCAAATAAATTCAGTGTAAAGCCAATTAATATCCAAGGGATTTTTTTTTTAATGAAATGTGACTGAGTATAAAATTTATATAGAAAAGGGGCTGGAAATAGCCAAGATAATTTTGTAAAGGATAGCGGAAATATACTGGCCCAACTACCAATATTAACCTAATAAGTTTTAACAATTAAAACATTGTAGGAGGTATTTCTTCAATGTTGAGAATAATACATCCTGATTATCTTTCCACGCCCAGCAGACGGGAATTTTCAATCAGTGTGGAATTACTGTGCAGGGTGACCTGGGGAGGGGGGGTGGCAAAACCAGAGTCCAAGTCACATGCTGGTACTTCAGAAGGTTGACTGCGAAATGCTGAGAATGGAAAATGAGGAGAGTAAAAATGAAAAAGAGATCTGAGTACATAAATGCTCAGGAGGGAAAATCAGCAGACCTTGAAGTTTACCTTTGTTAAGAAGCAGGTGGGTCAGCAGGGGGCAAGGGAAGGATGTCGTTAAGGTATTGGTTGGACATTGGGTCCATTAACAGCAAGAGTGACTCCTAGAGGAAGCCTAGATTATGTTTACTCTGGGACACATTGATTCTAGGGTTCTCTGGGATAGAGAAGTCTCAGGCAGGTTAGAACGGAGCTTGGGCTAGCTGGAGACAGACATCTTAAGCAGTTGTTGAAATAATAAAAATAAAACTCCCTAGGCAGATTCCAAGTTCAACAAGCAGAGGAGGACAGAGCGGGTGGGAATCCCCTCCTGGGGGAGACGATGCCTGTATCTGGACCTGGAAGGATGGGAGGGTCCGAAGAGACAGCAGGACGGTGCTCTCCAGGCGATGAGAAGAGAGGGGCCAGGCCCAGAGGAATCCTCATCTTCCCAACCACACCCATGCAAAATGACAGACACACCCTCACCTTTGCATTTGTCGCAGGTCGGGTGGCATCTCTCACACGTCCACGTCTGTGTGTTTTGCTCCCCATAGTAATGCTCGGGGCAGGCGCGAAGACACTCTCCCTTGGAGCGGAGCAGAAAGAAAAACTTGTCGCAGGACAGGCAGTCGGTGGGCCGCGGGCCCCGGCACGCCCTGCAGCTCTTGCTGCACCGCTCACACCGCCGCGTGGAGATTTCTGCGTAATACCTGGAACCAAGTGGGCACACGGAACACTGAATACTAAGCTTTGCTCTTAACCTGGGCGTGGTGGAAACATCCGGGTTAGTCACACAGTGTTGATTTCCGAGTTGTGTGACTTAAGAGTACTCGTTAATGTTACTCAGTGGACAGGTTACTGTAGGCACACCTCATTTTGTCATGCTTTGCGGGTGCTTTGGGGCAAGTCTTTGGGCGCTGTTTTTTCCAATACCAATTGCTCACTTCCTGTCTCTGTCCCATTTTGGTAATTCTTGCAACATTTCCAACGTTTCCATTATTACTATACTTCTTATGGTCATCCGTGATCAGTGGTTGCCGAAAGCTCAGGTGATGGTTAGCCTTACTTCGCAGTCAAGTGTTTTTTAATTTAGGTATGTCGATCGCTCTTTTAGACATAATGCTGTTGCACACTTAATGGACTACAGTAGTGTGTAAGCCTAACTTTTACATATGTGCCCCAGGAATCCGAGAACTTCACTTGATTTGCTCTATTGCAATATTCACGTTATTGCAGGGGTCTAGAAGTGAACTGTAGGATCTCCAAGCTGTGCCTGTAATGAGACTAATAAATCTGATGACTCAGTTTTCTTATCTTTAAATGGGGTCCTACAGTATAAGTCAGTTTTCTTATCTTTAAATTGAGCACTACAGTCCCTGCCCTGCTGTATGTATTAAATTTGGTAACACACACAAAAGAACTTATCTTAGTTCTTTTGAGCTGCAATAATTTTTCACTACTTTTGCCTTCTCTATAACCATGTGCTTCTTCACCGGAAAATTCAAGCTTTAAGTTTTGTTGAGTGGAATCAGGGTAGGGAAGATGTTTTCAGTGTACCTCTGAGTGATTCTTCTGGTTTCGTAATTTTAAAAAACATCTATCTTTAGGGACGCGTAGGTGGCTCAGTCAGCTGAGTGTCTGCCTTCAGCTCAGGTCATGATCCCAGGATCCTGGGATCAAGCCCCTCATTGGGCTCTCTGCTCAGCCGGGGGTCTGCTTCTCCTTCTCCCCCTGCTTATGCACATGCTCTCTCTCGCTCTGACAAATAAATAAGTAAAATCTTTTTAAAAAAATCTATCTTAAAATAGAAAATGACATGAGTGATGCTAATGTTTATATCATAATAGATGTAACCTCTGAAAAAATTTTTTGGAGGCTAAATATAGCCATAATCACTGTTCATTAACTTTTTACGAAGTACATGGTAGTTCTCTTGGGACTTCGTAGGCATTATTTCACCTTATTGAACCTAAAAGTAAGATGCTAGAGCCTGCCTTCTGGAACAAACTGCGTGGGGTCAAAGCCAAGCAGTTCCACTCGAGCTGTGCAACCTTGGGCAAGTCCCACATCATCTCTGTGTCTTAGGTCTGTAATATGGGGACAATGTTAGTAGCTAAAATTAAACAAGTTATTGTTGAGAGAATTGTTAGAATAGCGCCTGGCACATCACGAATCACATGTATTTGTGATAATTATGAATCATATGATTACATCTCAAAACAAACCTTATGATTTAGATATTATCATCTCTATTTTATGTAAGTAGAAACTGAGGCTCAGAGAATTCAGACAATTGGCTTAATGTCGGACTGCTCATGAAGCGGGCTCATGTGATTTGAACCTACCTGTTCACCACTCTAACAAAGCAGGGCTAAGTAAATAAAAAATTTTCCAGTAAGATAGAAGAGAGAAAAGAAATCATTGACAAAGATGAACTTCTAGACATCCTCCCACCCTTCTTGGTATCTCTGGACACGGGCACATTGAAGCTATTCTAGAAACTTTGATGGTTTGCCCTTGGCTTCTCTGGCCTGAGACTCTTTGCCACATTGGGTTCCCTAAAGTTTATTTCAGTTCCACGAAAGTCGTTGGAAACTAAATCCAGGGCAAGGTAGCACGAGTCCGCCTCTCTCTCACCAGCTGTCCCTGACCTGAGTGAGGGCATTTGTATCTCTGTGGCCCAGCCTGTGGCAAATCAGGCCTTGTTTTACCTTCTGCCATCAGGTGAGGAAAATTACAGCTGAGTCAGTCAGGGAGCCTGGGTGAGACCCAGTGATGAAGGGAGGACAAAGAAAGCATCAGCCAGGAACTGAAGAGCCAATAAAGGCCACAGAAGATAGGAAGAGAAAGCTATGGGAAAAGGTAGAAACCCACACAGACAATACAGGGACTTGAAGTCAGAAGATCTGACGTCTTGTCTTGGCCCCACTGTGTATTAGTAGCCTTGTGACATTCAGCAAGTCACTTAACATCTTTTTTTTTTTTTAAGATTTTATTTATTTATTTGACAGACAGAGATCACAGGTAGGCAGAGAGGCAGGCAGAGAGAGAGGAGGAAGCAGGCTCCCCACTGAGCAGAGAGCCTGATGCGGGGCTCAATCCCAGGACCCTGGGACCATGACCTGAGCCAAAGGCAGAGGCTTTAACCCACTGAGCCACCCAGGTGCCCCAAGTCACTTAACATCTTTGAGCCTCTATTTTCTCATCTGTAAAATGGGGAGAATAATCTCTGAGTATTGTTGGAGAACCAGATCATAATATAAAAATTTATTCTGAGTAGAAATACTTTGTAAACTTCAAAGCAGCATATATATTCTTTACTAATATTACAAATGTCGATAGGTTGTTTCTAAGATGAAAAGCACCGGGGCACCTGGGTGGCTTAACGTGTCTGCTTTCGTCTTGGGTCATAATCCCAGCATCCTGGGATAGAGCCCCATGTGGGGCTCCCTGCTCAGCAGGGTGTCTGCTTCTCCCTCTGCCCCTCCCTCCCACTTGTCTGTGCTCTCTCTCTCTCTCTCTCAAAAGTAATAAATACAATATTTTTAAAAAACCTGTTCTGAGGTTAAACACAAAAAAAATCGTGTGTGTGGGTAAAGGGTTCAGAGGATCATATACCTGCCTTTCCAGGGCAAAGAGATTTAATATGAGGTTGAGGCAATGTGCGTGGAACTCTGATTTTGTACAAGGAACCATTTCTGTTAAATATTTCCACATATACTTCATTAATATCCCGTTTGTTCCTCATTAAAGAAATTTATGGCAACTCGTGCCTCTCTTCCCAGTGGGTAACTTCACATACTTCACAACAGAACAATTATCTTCTTTTTTTTTTTTTTTAACAATTATCTTCTTAATTTGATGGTCTACAACTATTTAGATGACAGGATTATACCCTTTTGTGCATAAAAATGTTTAATGACTTGATTTGAGGGAGATGGAGATTCCTTTCATTGGATCCAGATCTTTTCAGGCACTTTCTGGAATGAAGAGGAAAGGCCAAGCCAGGTGGCCCTCTCCCTGCTCTTGTCGGGACGGCCTTTTGTTCATGGATCCGTACGGCTGGTGTTTTTGAGGGCTGAGGTGTGTGACTTTGTGCTGAGTATTGTAGTAATATGTGTAAAAATAAGAGTTTTTTTCCAGGTTTGTAATTTTCTTGGTAAGAAATATATAGGAAGAATCAATTCTTTTTAAAAAAAGATTTATTTATTTGAGAGACAGTGAGAGAGAGAGAGAGAGAGAGAGCACGTGCATGAGTCGGGGTGGAGGGGCACAGGGAGAGGGAGAAGCAGGCTTCCCGCTGAGCAGGGAGCCTGATGCGGGGCTCAATCCCAGGACCCCAGGATCATGACCTGAGCCAAAGGCAGACGCTTAACTGACTGAGCCACCCAGACGCCCCAGGAAGGATCAATTCTTGAAGGTCAAAATCTTTGTATTTTACATCCAGGGTGTTCTTCATCAGACATGTGTGGAATGAATGAGTGAATGGATGAGGGCAGGGTTCAGCACACAGTGCAGGCAGGAATTGCTGTAGAGCTGAAGGAAAGAAGCGTGAGGTCTCATCTGGGCAGAAGCATTGGGGAAAGTCCAAGGGGATAGCCTTTCAGTTTGGGTCTGGAAACCCTCAGTGCCTTAGGTGACTGACTGGGAAGGAAGAATTAGCAATGGGCCTATAATCTACATCTTTCTCTGTACTGGAGATTCCTAGGGGGAGAAAAGGGAGGACTCCGTCAAATCCTCTTTCAAATATGCTGGAATCAGACCTTCTGATAAATACACTTATAGTTTCTCCTAGCAAAAAAAATTATAGAGTTCTTATTTGTGACGTGCTTTTAGGAGGATACATCTATGTATCTAGGTTGCTTAGGGCACCTAAACCTCTACATTGTAGATTTATGGGGGCGTGGGAGGTTGGAGCACTGGTGGCGTGTAAGTGGGAATATTTAATTGAAATTTTTCCCTTTGTAAAATTGATGTTCCGCATACCTGGCTTAGATCTCACCTAAATCTGATCAGAACAAATCCTGATGCAGAAGAAGAAGAACCTATATTTATGGTTTCAGACTTCTCTAAGGGAAGAATGCTTTGCCTCTGCCTTGTGATTGCCTTCAAATTAGTAACAAAGTGTGACCCGTGATTCTAACTTGATCGACCCTTCATGTTATCTCACTGGGTCACTCTGCCTCTCCTGTGTCCTCGTCCATTACTATGAACTAGCTGAAATCTTTTTTTTTTTTTTAAGATATTTATTTATTTAAGTAATCTCTGCACCCAACATGAGGCTCAAACTCATGAACCCAAGATCAGGGGTCACATGCCATATGGACCGAGCCAGCCCAGGTGCCCCTAGCTGAAAGCCTTTAGAGATCAGTAATTTTGGGTGGACTCTCATCTTTATTTCTTCCTAGCACTGAGACTTCAACCCGTTGTGATATAACTTATCTTCCTCATCTGCAAAATGGGTTTGCCAGTAGTGCTGCCCGGAGTGGTTTTGGGGTTAAACGAGGGAAGCGTGTGTTGAGTGCCTTACCCTTCCCGGCACTGCAGCAGGCACTCTTTTTCCAACTGGAACGAGCCTGGGTGGCAGGAGAGGCACTGTGTGCTGTGTCTCCCTTCACACGTCCTACAAGAGCTGTGGCAGGGGATACATCGGTGGCTGTCCTCATCAGCGTAGTAGCCCTCGGGACAGTCCTGCACGCAGGTTGTGTCTGCCAAGGAAGGAAGAGTCTGTTTTGGTATCAGGTATGAAGCGTGTCTGCAAAACCTCCTCTGTGCTCACCATGGTTCACTATGGCGGGACGGGAGGGTGCAGGAGGAGTGAGACGATGTCCTTGGGAGTGTCTTGCTGCTCAGGTCTCCTGGGTTAGGGAGATAGATGCTAACCCTTTCTAGGTCTTCGATATACTCATCTCTTCCTTCCCTCTCTCCCACGCCCCTCCACTGCTCCTTCTTCTTGCTGAGTGAGCTTTGTTTCATTTTCTTTCTTGCATACCTGTGTCAGCCCAGTCACCTGGAAACCTGAGGGCATTGCTTCACATCAGTGATAACCTTCCAGTGTGATCTGCTGGAGGTAGCTAACCTCAGACCATGCCAGACTTCAGGAAGATTTATTAAACCCTAGATGCAAAATCCAAGGGAGGTTTTGATGAGGGGCTGCTTACCTGCATGATTGTAAAGTGTCTTTCCACACACTTCTTGTTACTCACAATGGAAAACAATAACTAAGCAGCAGAGACCCTGTCCAGCACTCTGGACAGGTGACCACAGTTAGCATCACTGGTGAGGGGCAGGTGACATCCTGGGTCTCCAGGAGGACATGACATCACCTGTGGAGTATTCTGGCTGAGAAAGCATCATCTCCATCTAATCATGGGAAACCTCACACAGACTCCCATAGAGGGATAGGGACCATATTCTTCTAAAATGTCAATATTCTAGGGGTTCCTGGGTGGCTCAGTAGGTTGGGCCTCTGCCTTTAGCTCAGGTCATGACCTCAGGGTCCTGGGATCAAGCCCTGCATCAGGCTCTCTGCTCAGTAGGGAACCTGCTTCCCCTCTCTCTCTGCCTGCCTCTCTCCCTACTTGTGATCTCTGTCTGTCAAATAAATAAATAAAATCTTTAAAAAATAATAAAATAAATCGTCAATATTCTATAGAAAAAAAATGTCTGTGGAAATGATTCAGATTAAAGGGGGCTACAGAGACCCAGGAACCGAAAGCAATACCTGATTGGAGACGGGATCCTGTTCTCAGGGGAAATTGCCAAAATTATAAAACAGGTGATACAGTGAAGTATTGATGTTAAATTCACTTGCATCGACAGCTGTACAGTTGCTATGTCAAAAGCATCCCTAGTTGTGGGAAATACATACTAAAGTATTTATGTGAAAGGAGCCATGCTCTGTATATCACATCCCCAGATGGCCGGGAAGAAATTTATTGTGGATGATGTAGGCACACACATTGAAAGAGATGAGAGCGAGCACACAAATGATAAAGCAAACGGGGTATCTGATTAGCAGTGGGCGAGGTGGGTGAAGGGCACGTGTATGGTGTTCTTTGTACTTTTGTCTTTTCTGTAGTTTTGAGAATTTTCCAAATATGAAGTGAAAAATTAGAAAGACACCAAACATCTACTGGGTGCCAGGTGATATGGAAGGTAGTTTCCCAGATGCAGGGGAGGAGAGAGCCCCCTTCAGAGGGCACGTGACTCACTGAGAAGAAGATGGTCCCTCAGGCAGGTGTGACACTGGTCCTCGGCAGGCCCCGTGCAGTGGAAGCACTTGGCATGGCAGGGCTTGCATCCCAGAGCCTCTATGTCCCAGTACTCAGAGAGAGCGCATTCCTTGTGAGGCACACAGTCCCCGTGGTGGTTGACCAGAAGACCTTCCTGACAGGTCACACATGTCCCAGGGGATGAGCAGGTCTGGCAGGACTTGTGGCAATCTGTGGGCACAAGACCAAGGGGGAGAGGATCAGGGTGTACCTGGAAGGCGGGTTCACATTTCTTCCTCCTTCCTTTCAGAGATTTCTAGGACTCTGGACTAGGGCATGGGGCACCACCAAGTTGGGTAGAGCCCTTGGACTCTGGGTAGAGCATTCTTGTCAAATGAGAAGAAAAATGACTGTTTCATCTCTGTAATATCTAGAGAACCCCTTCTTGCAAAATCCAGAAATATTAGACTCAGTGTAGTTACCAGAATTGCAACAGAATAATAAGCAGTTCTGTAGGGTGTGGTCACACACCGGTCTGTGGCCTGCTCACCCCATAACTCTAATTGCCGTCCTCCACTAACCCTCCCAGAACACCCTGAGCTTACCACTAACAACAGTTGTTGGGATGTATTGTAATAACCTGTGGATCAAAAAAAGACCTCTTTTATTCCAGTGAGAGGACCTGGCTTGTAACAGGCACTCAGTAACTTTTTGTTAGACAGATAAAATCAAAACAGTTCATTCCTACCTCGGGGTTTCAGCCATTGCTATTCCCTCTGCCTAGAGTATATGTGTGGTTCTCCTCGATATATGTGTGGATTATATTTTCAATGATGTCTTCAGGCTGCCTTTGCTCCAATTTCAACTCCATCCTGCCCAACTTCCTGTTCCCCTGCCCTGACTAACTTTTCCTTTTGACTTACTTTTTTAGGGTCTGTCTTCCATGTGCTCACAGCACATGGGAGGCCCCCAATGAGTGTTTACTGAATAGAATAGACACCTAGAGCAGGACATTGAGGCTGAAGGTACCAAGTCACTTGGCTGGAACTGGGCAGGGTTAGGAGTTGAACCTGGGAGCTTAATCAGAGCTCTTGCTATTTCTGCCCCAGTGCCTTGGGATAGGTGTGGGATTCTTAGAGGTGCCTATGCTGTCTCATAGAGGATAATCTGGGTGACCCAAATGGATCCCAAGTCCTGTGTTTCTTAGATCCTTCTTACTTCTGGATGCTTCTCTACATCTACCTAAATCTTAATTTTTCAGGTCAGGTCCTTTATTTCTTCTCTCTGGAAAGTCCGGTAGTCACCCTATTTCTTCCAGTACCAGCTTCCCTCAGCCTGACTTTGGACTGGTGGAAGGAGTCATTGCCTTGCAGGAAGAGCCTTCAAGTTAGTTCCCAACAGTTGAGTTGGTCTGAGGGGAGCCCAGACATCCATATATATATGAAATATAAAATATTTATTTTTATATATAATTAATATGTATTTAAATATAATTTATATTTAAATACATATTATATATTATATATAATATAAATATAAATATATAATTTTATTATATAATATATATAAATATATTTTATTATATAATATATAAATATATATTATATAAAATATATTTTATTTTATATATATTATATAATAAAATATATATAACATATATATAACACATATAAATATATATTATATATAACATAAAATATATAACTATTATTAAATATAACTAATATATTTATTATATAATACATATATAAATATATATATATGATATATATATGTGTGTGTGTGTATTTTTTTTTTAAGCTCCCCAGGTAATTCTAATGGGCAACCAGGGATGGGAACCAAGGGCCTTTCTCAATGAGAAAATTAAGTCAGGTAAGTCAAGTAAATGAGGCCCACAGAGTTCTGTGTATGGCAAATCACCAGTATTATTGAACACCAGAGAAAGGCCACAAATTGAGCCTCAGTTCCTGTCCAGGTACAGGCAAGATGGCATGGCAGCCTTTGGCTGAGTTGCTGAACTTCTCAAGGGAACTGGCCCCAAGCTCTCTCCCGCCCCGTCTTCTACCGTGTTCTAGTCCATGGTCTTTCCTGGGGGGGGCATGGACACTAAAGGGTGCCTTACATCAAACCCACAATAAGGTGGATCCAGATCCTAGGGCTGGAGCAGAAAGTTGTCAGGAGTCGGCTCTATCCCCACGTCCTGTGACATGGAAATCTTTCTTCTGAGTACATTCTAGAACGTGGCTGCCTCGGGTTTCTCCCGCCCCAAGCGCTCACCCTCAAGCTCCCACTGCTGTTGGGGCCACTTCTGCAGAGCTGCCTAACAGTGCCTGCTTGGTGGCGACACTGGCCAAGTTAGCCCTGGCTGCCTAGCGGGAGTGAATCACTGGGACTCTGGAGAGGTTAGCCCAGGGCAATTCATTTAATGGAGAATTCCAACAATAGACCATTTATTTTTCCTGTTCTGAGGCCAACCGTTGATACCTAGGGAAAACATAAGGAGGCATCAACGAGAGCAGATCCCGCCTAAATGGGTCGGGGTTGATGCGCTGAGTGTGGGGGGTGTCCCAGGGCAGAACCTGCTGAAGCAGGTGAGGAACCATGGAGGGTCACTGCAGGGAGCAAACTGATGAGGGACCCAAGAGGCACCAAGAACACCCTCCCTGCCCCCCAAGGCACAGCTTTCCCTATGCTGCTGTCACCCTTTAGCAGCTTCAAGGTTTAAGAAAAATAACCAGGGGCACCTGGTTGGCTCAGTGGGTTAAATCCTCTGCCTTCAGCTCAGGTCATGATCCCAGGGTCCTGGGATCGAGCCCCGCATCGGGCTCTTAGCTGAGCAGGGAGCCTGCTTCCCTTCCTCTCTCTCTGCCTGCCTCTCTACCTACTTGTGATCTCTCTCTGTCAAATAAATAAATAAAAAATGTTTAAAAAAAAAAAGGCTGGCAAATATATATATATATATATATATATATATATATATATATATATATGGTCTTGTTTTACCTCTCTGCCTGCCTCTCTGCCTACTTATGAACTCTGTCAAATAAAATCTTTAAAGAAAAAAAAAAAACCAAAACACTTCCATTGTGGGTGACTTGTGAAGGCTCGTGTCTGCTGTGAAGCTTCACACAGGAGTTCTTTTTGATCAGCGGATCAGAGTCTGTGTTGGGAGGAGGGTCAACCTGACTTGTTCTCAAGAAAAGTTACCTGGTCAAAGCTGATGAACTATTCATTTAAAATTAATAATGAATTAGAGCAGATTCAAAAGTCTGCTTTCTTGAGCAGGAGGGAAACGGGTGGGATGACAGCTCCGGGGCTGGAACCCCGCAGACCCAACGCGTGCTTTGTCTCAGCAAACACCCCTGTGGTGCCCTGGGGATGCCTGGTCAGACTCGTGCAAGCTGTTACCTCGGCAGTCTTTAGTCTCTTTCTCGTAGTATGTTCCCCCTGGACACTCGTCCAAACACCGTCCATCGTAGAGAACCAGGGATGGCTCGGCACAGAGGTCACAGTCATCCGCCGAGGGGCCACTACACTCCAGACAGTCTTCGTGGCAGGGGATGCACTCGCGTGTGTCCTCGTAGAAGCCACGGGGACAGGACTGATGACACATACCCTGGAACAGGAAGGACGCAGGCGTACACTCTGCAGGGAGTAGGAAGCAGCCAGTTACCCCCTCGGGCACAGGAAAGAGGAATCCCTTCCTTCTGGAGTGGGCTAGCCTGTCCAGACCCCACTGGCTCCTTCTACCAGAGTGTTCCGTGTCCCATGTGTGTGCCCCGTGCCAAGCCTCACGTCTCTAAGCTTTGGGAGAGAAGACCACATACGGTGGGCTAATGACCTGGTGTTGGGTTTACAGCCCGAAATGATCTGCCCCTTAGAGGTGTAAAAAAATTGCAGTGATGGGGTAGACCAGCTGTGGAGGAGATGCTGGAGGTTTTGGTTAAAACCTGAAATGCAGGCTGTATTCAGTGCAAAAGCAGTTTAAACATTCTTGCATTAGTTATGTTTTCATTCCCTGGTAGGGTCGACCGGTGACATACACATAATTACTCAGTGGGAGGAATGCATTGTGGGTTTCTTTCATTTGTCTTCATTCTCTTATTTGGGGCGGGGGAACCAAGAAAACACTTTGGGTCACACCAAGAGAATCCCTTCGATGGAACAGCATCATTCAATGGGTCTTACTCTGGAGAGGAGATTAGCCCGTCTTGGAGATAATTCTCGAGAAAGAACTCCTAGCCAGAGTGCTCTCCTGAGCCTGACTGTCTTCGCCTGAACTTCTCTTTCGTATCTTTTATAACAGTTGCAATTCTCTAGCTCCCTCTGTTTCCTTAATATCAGCCTCCCTATGAGATTTTGTGCCCAAAGAGGCAGGAACTTTGGGTTCTTGTCTGGATCTCCAGCAGCTGGGATGACCCCTAAGTGCTCAGGACCCCTGTGTGGGAGAAATCCCGCAGAAGCAGGGCTTTCGTTTGTCTTTGCTTGAAGCATCCGTAATGGCGAGGCTTTATTCTTGCCCTCGATTTCCTCAGTGATGGGCAGGGAGGTGGATCTATTTCAGTAAAGGTAAGGAGACTGGTTCCCTCCATTTTGCATGGACATCTCCACCCCCGCTCCCACCCCCTGCCATAGTCGGTCCCCAGGAGCGGTGGCTTGGGAGAGCCACACTCTCCCCTGGGATGCTCCCACATACCTTTGCACGTCTTCTCATGGATGCAGTCCTGACACTTCTCAGGGCAAGCCTTGCACACCCCCTCCACGGCCACATGCCTCTCGGGGCAGGCTTCCCGGCATGCTCCCTGGTGCAGGGTGAGGCTTCCTTGGCAAGAGTGGCAGTTGGTAGCATTTCCTTCGCAGGTTCTGCAAGGAGAGCTGCAGGGCTTACACGTGCTGTCTTCTGCATAGAAGCCCCTGTGGGGAAGACAGAGCACAACTGGAGATGCTTTCCGGTGGGGAAATGAGTCACGCGTGGTGGCAGAGGGCTTGGGACTGAAGACGCTGGGAGGGCGGCTGCCACTGTGGGGCAGAACAAGGCGGTCAGATTTGCGGAGGAAGGAGGGGTCGGAAATCACATCTGGGAAGAGAAAGATGAAAAGGATAGGTATTGTCCTTGTGAACGTGGTTGGTCTGAAAGCCACTTTTGTTAATGTGTTCATAGTTCAGCCACCTTCTGGTTTCCCTATTTTATCTCCCAATTTTTATTTTTATTTCTTTATTTTTTTAAGAGTATTTGTTTATTTGACAGAGAGAGAGATCACAAGCAGGCAGAGAGGCAGGCAGAGAGAGAGAGAGAGAGAGAGGGAAGCAGGCTCCTTGCTGCGCAGAGAGCCCGATACAGGGCTCGATCCCAGGACCCTGAGATCATGACCTGAGCTGAAGGCAGAGGCTTAACCCACTGAGCCACCCAGGCGCCCCTGGTTTTTATTCTTTATTCCTTTTTTTTAAATAAGAGCCTTATGTTAGAGTAGAAAATGCTTTTTATCCAATTACCTTTTTAATGAAAAATTTTCATTTACTAAATTACTGAATTTAGTCTTTAATATAAAATGTTCATTTATAATTAAGTTAAGAAGTTACTTTCAAAAAGCTCAGAAGGTTTAATGCCCTATAAAATTAGAACCACTTTTGTTTGCGGCTCCTCTCAACCAGTCTCCAGTGGCTTCTTCCAAACACACGCGTAGAATGTTTGCACACCGTGTCAAACATATTTACAGCACAAACATATCCTACAAATACACAGGAGGATATATTTCTATGACTGACTTTCTTCCAGGTGGAATCTGGTGTCTGTATATATCGGACCTCTCGGTGATTACATTATCACGCCATAGATTAATACTGACTGGTGAACACAGGAAATATGAAAACCTCAAACTTTTCAAATAGATTTGGAAGATGAGGAAAATATAGACAGTTCCTTGGAAGAAAAAAGCTGGAGGAAAGAGCTGGAATGTGCAGAAGCGGGAAAATCACAAACCAGTGTAGAGGATATGGACTTCGATGTCCTAGGTGTCTATTACAGTTGTTTTCAACAGTTTTCATTTTATTTGTCAGCTGTTGCCATAATAGTGCAAAACACCCCCAAACTCATCACCCGTGTGTCTGTGGGAGGGCATATCTAGGCTGAGCTTGTGCTCAAAGAGGCATATGTCATTGTAGGGGAAGCACATGTGCTTCTCAGTACGTGTACTACTCAGGCATGTACTCTGGGGGACGGAGGCTGCACCCCAAGGTACACCCTGGATTCTGGTCTTTCTGTCCCTTTATCTTCTCTGGCACAGGGACCTCCTGGGGCACATTCTTCTCTTAGCCATGACAGAGAACAAGAGGGCAAGTTCATCCAGGCAAACAGGTTGTAAAGCTCTGCTTCCCTTCCGCTAACAACCCGTTGGCCAAAGCAAATGAACTTGTCCGAAGTCAAGATCAAGGCAGTCCATTCAATGTCTGTGGAAGTTGCTGCAAAGTGACAAGTAGAGGGCATAGGTCCATGGAAGGGTGAATAATTGTAGCAAATAACTCATCTACTAGAGTCCTTTTTGAATCAGTGCCCATGAGGCATCCTATATGGCCTCTTTACTTGACGTTTTAATGAACTCATTCACATCTGTTTCCTCATTCCTTCAGCCCTTCTTGTATTTATTCGGGAAACAAAAATGTACTGAATGTATCAGGAAGAAATAGGACAGGGGTGAATAGGTTTATGTATCTGATGTAGTTTTACGAAAGAAAAATCGGAGAAGAAGCAGTTTAGTAGAAGAGAGGGAACCAAATTGTATCCGGATGAAAGCTAAGACCAGACTCCCTTATACAGTAGTATCTTAGCTTTCTGGGACCACATGGAGAACCTTCAGTTGATTATAACTAAGCTTCTGCTGTCAATTCTTACATCTAGCAGATGCGAACTATTTATCTGCAGAACAGAATTGAATATGCTTGGCTTCTTCACTAGCCTGGAAGCTTCTCGAGTACCCTGACTGGTGTTTGCACCTACAGGATCTGTCTCAGTAGCGGATCCAGAAACTAATGATCTACTTCTATCATAGGTCTTGTAGCTCTAGCGTCAAGTTCTTTTAATCAGTGGGAAATTTCTGATTCCCCCAAATAGATCCTATTGGTCACTCCCCCAAACTCCCTCCTCGCCTCCCTCTTTCTAGTCCTCCTTGCTGTCAGTGTTTGATTTTATTTGGGTGTTCAGGGTGAATCTTGTGTAGCCAAAACTGGTCTTTCTATTTCCATCCTTCTGGCCAGAGATCATTTTTGGAGCATGGAAGGGATGCATTCTGGCTAATGAGATGTGAAGGGAAGTTGGTTTTCTTTCCTTTGGAAAAGAGATGGAGGAGGGGAAACGTGCCCTTTTCTGTCTCTTGTTGTTGCTGTGTAGGGTGGTGAGGTTTGGACACGGGGCAGACAGCATGGCTCAGGGGCTCAGGGGATGACAAGCTGAGGAAGATACAAGAACAAAACGGAAAGATTGTGGGTTTTTAACGAAGTGTTGGCTGCTGAGGTAACCAGTGCTGGATTTTAAGCTTTTTGGTCCGTGCAATGACAAACCCCACACTGTCTCAGTCATTCTACTTAGAATTTATGTTGCTTGTCACTGGAAGTTCCCAGATGCAGTTTTCCAAGTTTCGTTTCCACTTCCTTTTTACATCCTGGAGGTGGAACCATTGATGGGAAGAGAAAAGGAATTATAAACCAGAGGACTGAGGAAACCATGAGGAATCAATAAATAATTTAGCAGGTCTGATTCTGTATTTATTATTTACACCTCACACCTCACCTACTGCAAACATTTAAGAAAAGATTCCTGTATTCGCAGCCTTAACTTTGGTCATGGAAGAAAGACAACTCCTTGATCACAGCCACAAAGTGGAAGAAACGCGTATTTTCACAAAAGTCAAAAACACGTACATATCACAGTCCCGAGGGAGAAGTGTGCACGCTTTGGCTGCTATGGCCAATAGTGTTGTCAGTCAGTGCCACAGGGGGACACATCCCTAGGCTCTGTCACTGGGGATGGGGAGGCGTTCCTGGTGTAAGAAGGAATTGCCCTCCAAATGCCATAGGGGAATGAACCAGAGCCGGATGAGAAAGGCAGAGGGACACTTACTCAGGGCACCTGGTGTAGCACCTGCCTTTGTGGAGGACAAGAGGGAGGTCTGGTGATGTCTGGCACTTTCTGCAGAGATCAGCTCCAGAGCAGGAGACACAGTCCTCTGTACAGTTCTCGCAGCTTCCACTCCTCGCTGAGGGCCACATGCCTTCGGGACAGGAGGAGACACAGGCCTGGGCCAGCAGATATGTGCCTAGAAACCAAGGGAAGAAGGCAGAGTGGACAGATGGTCATCCTGTGTCTGGTCCAAGGGCAGTTGTGTCTGCACAAAGGACAGATGACCCACAGCAGCCCAAACTCCTTTTTGGAGCCTCTGCAAAGACCCAAGGATGTTGAATATTTATTTCTGACAATCGCAAGTAATTATTAGTGATGCTCGGTCTCCCACATTCAGTTTGATGGCCAGAAAGGATATTGACAACAGAGGTTTTGCCCTGTTTCTTTCTTTCTGTTTTTAGCATTTATTTGAGAGAAAGAGAGAGAGAGTGTGAGTGCACAATGGGGGTGGGGAAGAGCAGAGGGAGAGGAAGAGGCAGGCTCCCTGCTGAGCAGGGAGCCCGATGTGGGATTCGATCCCAGGACCCCAGATCATGACCTGAGTTGAAGACAGATACTTACTTGACTGAGCCACCCAAGTGCCCTCTTGCCCTGTTTCTTTTACTTTCCTGCTGATACTGGTGCAGGTCTTGAGGGGCTTCCTTCTGTCCAGTTGGTCTGTTAACACCTTCGTCCACGTGTAAGGCACATGTGCAGCCCTCTAGAGTCTATTTTTCTGCTTCTGGAAGCCTCTCCTTCTAGGCCGCTAACCCAGTGGCAACTCTTCCATCCAGCACCACCTGGCGTGGATGGTCTGTCTACTTATTTTTAATTGAAAAAAATCAGATATCATCATTATTGAAGAAAACTATTGTAAAAATCACCCTCCATTCCCAAATCCCAAGACAATTCCTTCAGTTTTTGGTTGTAAACGTTTATATTTCGTAGGGGTAGAGTCATGGCACACCTGAAATTTTAAAGTTTGTATCATCTCACAATGAACACTGCGCCTTCCAACACCATGACCGCTTTCATGGTCACTTTTAATTCTTAAATTCTCACTGTTAATGAACCATGTTCATAAAATATCCCCCCAATTCAGGGGAGTTGCTATTTCTGATATTTTGTTATTACAGACGATGAAGCAGTGCATCTGTTGACCTGTTTAAGTTGTTGTTTTTTGGATGGGGCTCCTGGGTGGCTCAGTCAGTTGGGCGTCTGTCTCCGGCTCAGGTCATGATCCCGGGGTCCTGGGATTGAGCCCCGCATCAGGCTCCTTGCTCAGCAGGGAGCCCGTTTATCCCTCTTCGTCTGCCCCTCCCCCCTGCTCTTGCTCACACTCTCTCTCAACTAAACAAACCTTAAAAAAAAAAAAAAGTCGTTCTTGGGATTTTTTCTCCCCTAAATTCAGAAATGAAGAAGGAAAGAAGAAGTAGGGTACTTACCCTCCCCCGGAATCTCTACCCTCAGTTCTCTTGTTTTGGCTAAGGCACTTTCAAGAGTAATGGAACCTCTAGAAATGTCAGGTACCCAGAGACCCAGCAAATTCTGTGGCCAGATCAACAGATAACTTCATCATGGCTTTGGATAAGAACACTGATGTTTTCTTTCTCTCTCTCTCTCTCTCTTTTTTGGTCCTTTGAAAGCTAGTTGTGTGTGTGTTTAAGATTTTATTTTTAAGTAATCTTTATACGCAACATGGGACTCAAACTTACAACCCCGAGATCAAGGGTCTCTTGTTCTACCGACTGAACCCGCCATGTGCCCCTGAATACCAGTTTTGTTAGAGGTCACTGTCTGGGTCCTGGCATTTTCCCAGAGGAGCCATTGTGATAGGAACAGTGAGAACTGGATCAAGTCCTGCAAAGCTTTTACATAAAGATGTCACATGAGTGACAGTGAAGTGTCTGGGCCACGGCCACCTCCTGTCATATTCCACACTGACCTTTTGGACATGAAGTGCACAGCGTCGCAGACTCATTGCAGGTTTTACAAGAAGGATGACAAGGCTGGTGTCCTCTCAAAATGTCTGTGTAGGGAGAGAAACCAGAAGTCAGTGTTACAGCATTGGAAAGGATCTCATGGGTCATCTCGTCTTCCTGCCCAGAATAGAATCCCTTCAGTTTTGCATTGGCTAAACTCTGATGCCCACTCATTACCCGTGCAGTGGACTTTATTCATTTATTCATGTATTTCATTCTTTTTTTCTCTTCCTTCCAATTGATCATTAAGACGTGGTTTGCAAACTTCCAGTGACAGGATAGCCTTAAATGCAATGGGGTTGTTTAATCTAACAGGTGTTCCTTCTTCCACATATTAAAAATCTGTGGGAGTGTGTGCTTGTGGGCATGCATCATGAAAGAATTTTCTAGTTGAGGGTCATTACTTCTTTCCCCAAGATTCTTAGATGACCATTTCTCTTCACTCCAAGATGATAACAGAATTCATTGTGTCTTTTGTGGAGTAACTTTTTCTTCTTCCCTCCCTTCCTTCCCTCCTCTCTTTCCTTTTTTTTTTTTTTTTTTTTTTTTGTTGTTGTTGTTCTTTGGAACTAGGTTTCAAAATCCGTCAATGTTTGGGTTTCTGTGTTCTTCAGAGTGACCACTGTGGAATGCAAACCTAAATTGATCTCCTCTCAAATCATCGTTAAACATTCACCTAATGGGGCCACCTGCGAGTTTTCTGGTTGGTCGGATGGTAAGCAGGCCATTCCCGCTCAATACCCATCCACCTGGGAAACATTGGAGGTGTTCCTCTCTCCCTTTCCCCCCAAGAGCTCTCCTTCGATGGCCAGGCTTTTCCCAAGAGTCAGCAAGTCCGAGGGACAATTTCAAAGACCTACAGAACAGCCTTGGTGACATCACTCAATGAGGACATGAGATCTTGACCAAACCTCAGGAGCTGCTTGGGAATCAGCATGAGTCTCACGGGGGAAAATTAGAAAAAGAAGATCTAGCTCAGGATGTGGGATAGGAATGATCTGGACCCCCAGTTGACTGTTGGCATCTTATGACCACCCCCCCCTTGCTTCTGGCTCCTTCCAGCCCTTCCGAGAGTCGGCCTGACAAAGTGGGTCCTGTAGGCACACCTGCCTTCAGAGCCCAGCTGTGCCACTTCTGGGAGAGTAACCATGGATATGGGAATTAAACTCAGAGAGTCCTATTTTCCATGTCTCTAGCATGAGAGCCAATGATCGTTCCCTTATAGAACTGTCGTGGGATGAAATGAAACTGTGTATAATGCACACACACAGCGGCTCAGTAAATGCTAGACCTTCTGCTTCCTTCCTCCCAGTTTTCTCCTTGGGTACATACCTCCCCATTTCCCAAGCTTCAGCTTTAGTTCTCTCTCTTCTTCCCCTGTTCCATACCTGGAGTGGCCCTGGGAGGCAGTGCTTGGTTTCTCCGAAGGTGCCATGGTGAATAAGCTGCTGAGATTAGCTAATGAGGAAACTAGATCCCCAGGTAGGGAGGTAGACAGATTGGCATGGACGTAGATAGAGACGTATAGACATAAAGGATCATTCTGCTACGCTAAGTGGCAGTTCTCTTCCTAGTCTGGAAGGAGAAACATGCCTTGGTTTTCCAGGAGACTGACTCACTGCTGTACTCTACCTGGGCAGAGCTGTTAAGAGCTCAGTTACCCTTGGGCAGAGCAGAGCCCAGCGCAGGATTCCCGCAAAAGACAACAGGTCTCCCTGTTGCCCACAACATCAACCAACCACAAGACCAACAGTCTCCCCGAAGGCCTTTTTAACCTGATAGCCTCACTTAACCCAAAAGAGAAGGCGGCAGAGTGAGCAACAGGTCCCTTGCCAACATCAGTCCTCGCTAATCCCCAGGGAGATTCGGATCAAAACTGCAGTGTGAGAGCATCTCACACCTGTTAGCCGGGCGAGGCTGGAGAAGACATAGCCAGCATCGGTGAGGACGTGGAGGAAAGGGGACGCTTGTGCACCACTGGTGGGGCTGGAAGTGGGGAGAGCCACTGTGGCAAACAGTGCGGAGGGTCCTCAGAAGATGAAAAATGGAGCTACCCCACGATCCAGCCATTCTACGCTGTGTATGTAACTGAAGGAAATGGAATCACTGTCTTGAAGAGACACCTGTTCTCCCATGTTCATTGCAGCCTTGCTTACAAGAGCTGAGATAGAGAAACCACTGAAGTGTCCATAGATGGGTGAATGGGTCAAGAAGATGTGCTGTATGTGTATAAAGGAGCACCACTTGGCCATAAAAAGGAAGGAAATGTTGCCATTTGCAACAAATGGATAAATCTTGAGCATTAGGCTAAGCGAAATATATGAGAGAGAGAAAGATAAATACTCTGCGATCTCACTTATACATGGACCTACAAGGAAACCAAACTCTTATAATAGATCGGTGGTTGCCAGGGGTCGGGGTGGGGTGGGGAATGGGTGAAAGGGGACCAAAAGGTACAAACTTCCAGTTGTAAGATGATTAAGTACATGGTGTCTACAACTAATACTGTTGTATATGGGGAAGTTGCTAAGAGGCTAGCTCTTAAAAGTTCTCACCACACACACACAAGGTAACTGGGGGTGGTGGATATGTTAACCTTATGGTGGTAATCATTTTGCAATATATACATATATCAAACTATCTCATTATACTTGTTAAACATGACAATGTTACATGTCAATTGTATTTCAATGGAACTGAAAAAAACACAATGGCTGAGAGCAGTTCTTAAAAAATAATAGCAAATTAATATTTACCAGACACCTTGACAGTCTTTAATATTATTATATGTCTAGGCCAGGAGTTGAGCTTTTTTTGACTCAGGGTTTGAAATTTTTTGTTTTATCTTTTTTTTTTTTTAAAGATTTTATTTATTTAAAGATTTTTGTTATTTATTTGACAGACAAAGATCACAAGTAGGCAGGCAGGGGCGGAGGGGAAGCAAGCTCCCCGCTGAGCAGAGAGCCCGATGCGGGGCTCCATCCCAGGACCCTGGGATCATGACTTGAGCCAAAGGCAGAGCCTTTAACCCACTGAGCCACTCAGGCGCCCCAAAGATTTTATTTATTTATTTGAGACAGGGAGAAAGCGCATGAGTGAGCGCACAAGAGTGGAGAGAAGGGGCGGAGGAAGAGGGAGAAGCAGGTTCCCCATACAGGGGAGCCAGAAGTGGGGCTCTGTCCTAGGACCCTGGGATCATGACCTGAGCAGGAGGCGGCAAACATTTAACTGAGCCACACCCAGGCACCCCGATTTTATCATTTTTATACTAAAGTTTTTTTATTTAGAAATGAGTTTTAATGAATTTTCTCACATTTTTGTAATATATCTACACGTATTTATAATTACGCATCTCGCACATTCTGGCAGCATGAGATTTTACTGGGACACACTAGATATAAAAATTCTGTAATGTCGGCACATGTCCACTAGAGGGTGCTCTGTACACACAGTTAACAGCAATTAAGTGTGGGCAAGGGATCATCCTTGCCAGGCACAGGTTTTTATCCTAAAAGATTAGTGACTTAGTCACAAGTATTTGACTTTGATCATAGTTTTTCTTTTTTTTTCCACTCCAGAAATTTGGACTGGACAAGACCTCAAAGGGGAAAAAAAAAAAAACAAAACACCTTGACCAAGAAAATGTAGTGTCTGTCCTTTAGAAATGACTATAGCTAAACCATATAAAACAGGAGTTTTATTTAAAACAAACTTTAAAATAAGCAATACTCAACACAGTTAAAAAAAAAAACCCAAAAGAACTGAAGAAAGGGAATATATCATAAAGCATCCCTCCATCCTTTCTATATAAACTGTATTTATTCACCTTGTTTATCACATTTGTTTTGTTTCTGGTAATAATGTATTTGGGGGGGCCATGGCACACAAAGAACCCCCTCATTCTTGTTTGTGACTCCACAGCATTCCATTGCACGGGTATATCAAACTTCATTTTTCTAACTGGTAACCGTTGGTGACTGCTTAGTATTTTTTTTTTTTCCCCAATCTCTGCTATTTCAAATACTACAGCAGTGACCAGGGAGGCCAAAGGTGCTTTTCCAGGCTATTACAGATCTGCAAGGACAGAGGCTTTTCTTGAGAGCCTCTCCAGATATAACTAGTCAGCACATCAGGAACGCCCTTAAATGTTCCAGAAAGCTTCACGGCTGAATTTCCTCCCGGTCTCTGGCCTCTGAGCACCAAGTTGCGGTTACCACCTTCCTTCTGTTTTTGTCTGAGGACTTCTGCACCCCCATTTGCTCCTCATAGTTCAGCTTCTCGGGTTGGTTTCTAGGTCACAGAGGCTTTTGATTCGGTGTGATGGTCTTTTCCCTATTTCCCTGTTACCTCTTTTGATTGGAAACTTCCGCCGTTGCTTCTGTGGAAGGCTCCTCGCCGAAGATGGGCTTTCAGTGGGCCCGGGCTCTTTTTTATTTAAAAAAAAAAAAAAAAAAAGCGTTTCATTTTTTTAATGCAAGAAAGATAAAGAAGGTTACTGTTGCCTATCACCTTACCACCCAGAAATGTGGGGTAGACATCAGCATGTGGATTTCCCATCTTCATATTGAATGTGGGAGTAGAATCATGTATGTGTTTGTGTGTGAAATCGTTTATGTCTTCTCTGTATATAGTACAGATCCTACATTTTGCATTTTTAAAAAGATTTTATTTATTTATTTGACAGAGAGCACAGAAGCAGGGGGTGGGGAGCTGCTGGCAGAGGGAGAGGAAGAAGCATGCTCCCTGCTGAGCAGGGAACCCCATGTGGGGCTCGATCCTAGGACCCTGGGATCACGACCTGAGCTGAAGGCAGATGCTTAACCGACTGAGCCACCAGGCACCCCTGAATTTGATATTATAGATTTTATAGGCATATTCTCTTGCTCCTAAAAGTCTTTGTATACACTATTTTAAATGGGTGATGTATTTAGATGAAACATAATTCACTTAATTTTGGGGGGGGGTTATTATAAATGGAGCTGCTATGGACATCTTTATACACAGGATATAAAGGACTTGGCTTGGCTCCTAGGCATCTCAGCTAGCACTCTTTGCTGCCTTCTTTTCGGGACTATTCTTCCCCAATCTAGCACCCCCTCCCCCCAAATACTTGATTTTGACAAGGAAGACTGTTTTGAAAGTGAACTAGTGTTTCCTGCGTTAAAACTGGGTCAGGTTAAAGGGCTGGGGAGTAGTTTAACTTTTATTGTGTCCTCTTCAGTCCTGGGAGCTTTATATGTGTTCTCCCATTTAATTCTCAGAATGACCTTGGCTGAAGTAGTTCCATGTTCTTATTTTATGGTTGAGGGAATTAAGATTCAGACAGAATGAGTAACTTGCTCAAGGTCACACAGCTAGTAGAGAGCAGAGCCAGGATTTGAATTCTGGTATGCTTATCTCTAAAGCCTACATCCACTAGAGAGACTTTTTGTAATTAATTTGGATTTTAAAATAGTTTGGTTGAGGTCAAAGCAGTGGTATACCGGTAAAATGGCTTTTTGGAACATAAGACAAAAAACTTGACTTATAGTGTTTGCTGATTTCCGTGGTAAATACTCCCATCACAGCCTATGGTTTAATGATCCCCTATCAAAATTCCTGGGTATTTGACAATCAAGGCAAGTGCAGATGCATGGTTCCTTCAGGGATCCTGTGGGCCAAAGGTTTAGTCATTTCCTCATCCAGAGTCCCGGGTTTTCTTCACTGAGTTCTGATTGGATAATTAAATAAAAATGAGGTCCTCATTTCTAAGCAAGGCAACTGTATATATCTACAAAGTCCTTCTAAAAATCAGATTTTCGTGGCATCTTTAAAGCTCTCGAAGATTCAGTTACACACAGGCAATGTATCTCCCCACCGCTGAGATTTATTTTTTGCACATGGCTCAGTGTTTGTGAGGGACTCTGGGAGTCCAGGCTTCCTCAGGGCACAGGAATCCAGATCAAAAGACAGGCTGGTGAGAAATTGTTAGGATGTGGTCAAAGATAAAAAGTTAATTCCCCGCGTCTGCGCTTTGTAGATTAAACTACCCTCGGACTATGTCATTAGAGCCTGATACAAACACGGTTTTCATCGATGATGGAAATAGGTGGGTAGGGGAAATGTGCGGGAGTTATTCCTAGGACTTTCCGGCACTACCAGGGGGAAAACCACTTAAGAGAATCCAAATGATTTAACAGGCATAGAGTAAACCGTTTCCATTCCCCACAATGGTTTCAGGAAGGCAGCTGAATGCCCCAACATTTCACCCACGGTCACCCTGTGATGCCCGGGGCACTGTGGAAGCCATTAGTGGCCTGTTTCACATTGGGTCTATGGCTGCCATGCGGGGATATTGGACTAGGAGTCTCCAGAGGATATTACTGACTAGGACAGGGGATCTGGGAGGGATCCGTACTCTGGTGCGAGTGATTCTTTGCTGGCAGGAAGAGCAGAGTTGGGCGGCCATCTTTGGACATTACTCAGCCTTGGCTGAAGGACTTGCCGGGCATGGTCCAACGTATAGGGAACTCTCCATCCTCAGACTGGGGCGGGAGGTGGTCCCACCGTGTGCATAATTAACGAAGAATGATGGTCCTCTCATTCTGAGCAGCCACCTTATTAAGAGAGGGGTTCAGTGAAGTCCAGTTGGATTTTTATTTTAAGGCTATTTCCTCCCCACATGCTGGCACAGGCAATGGGGGCAGTCGTAGTCTTTGGAGGCAAAGAAGAGCTGATTGTTTCTGCTGGGGCTGGTGTGGGTGAACTGAAGTTTGTCCCGTTTTACCTTCCTTATGTGGATCCACGACCGTGTTGAAAAGCACAGTACCACCTTGCTGAGAGCACCTAGGCAGCTCTGTTCTTTTCAAATCCTTCTGTACATTGTCTGGGCTCCCACAGAGTTGACTCAGGGTGAATGCAACCTGCTTAGCATCATCGTAAAGGGGTGGCTAATTAGCGACTGTTTTCTGGAAACTTCTACCCATCTATTATACCCCCAATCTTGTTTTGTTTGTTTTGCTTCTTGTTTTTAAGAGCTAGAAGTCAGGGTACAGTTGTAGGCATTGGCTCTAATACTCAAGTCTAGGATGTTATGGAATGCATTTCTCACTTACTATCTACCTCAGTCTAAACTCTGCCTGGGAAGCTGAGCTCCAGCTGTATCTTGCTTCGTGAAGAATGAGTCCTTCCTCCCTGTGAGTAGTCTGCATGTCTGATTTCCTAGATCATAGAAAAGTGCGGCCGTGCCATTGACTTTATTGCTTTTGTCCAGCCATGAGAAGCATTCGCATCTGCTTCCTGAATCCCTTATTAGTGCTGAATCCCCAAATGGACTAATTCCGTCCCTTCTTCAAAAACACTATATTTTGATAGTAGAAAATGCAGAGGGTTGGGTGTGGTGCTCTGACAGAGGGGAACAATCAGGGCCTGATTTCTTCTTGCAGAGCGCGTAGTCCAGTTGAAAGGGACGTGTAATCATTTGGGGAATCAAATCTGCTCTGACTCTTGGCTCCCTGGCCCTTTTCATCATCTGGATGCCAGATAAAATACAGATGTTCTGAGCTAGGAACACAGCACCAGACGATTTTCCTCTTGGCTTGCACTGCCTCTTAAATGCCTGAATGCCAGACAAACCCGTTTTCAGCCTTTGGGTCCAGCTATAATTCACGAAAGATATCCCAGTCTGGAGTGAATGATTTTCTTCCCAGCTATGTCTCTGAAATTGGCCCATGTTCTCCGTGTCCTTTGGCTGCTGGGTTTGTGATGGTCCCTGAGCTGCTTTTCCTTTAAGTCTCATATGTGCCACGGTCATGGTGGACGGTCGCCATGGATGTCCCTCCGTGGACCCAGCGAGAGCCTCTCTCCTGCCCGGGATCTTTCCCTCTCCCTGGCCCTTCGAAGTCGTATCCTGAGCGGACCTCCACTGTTGCTGCACTGAAATGACCTTTTTAATAAATCCTTGCCTCGAAATCAAACAGAGAACATCTCTTGTTTTCGTGAGCATCTCTTCATAGAATGTGAGTCAGATTTTTCCAGTCGGAAGAGGGTTTTGTGTTTTAACCCCCGGAGACACAGAGAGGTCATTGGAGCTTGTAACTACCTTGCAAGGAAGCCTGTGACTTTGGCTCCAGTGCGAGGAAGTCCATACGGAAGACGCGGGTCGGGATGAGCAGACGCAAGCCTTTACTGTTAGACGGCAAGCTCCCACACCCTCCCTCCTGCCCCCATCAAAATCCCCACTTTCCCCATCTGCAGCCGGAGGGGGACTTTTATTTTATTTTACTTGAGAGGCAGCATGAGCCCCTGGGGGAGGGGGAGGAAAAATCTCAAGCAGATTCCCCACTTAGCAGGGACCCGGACTCCAGGCTCCATCTCCCAACGTGGAGATCATGACCTGAGCCAAAATCGAGAGTCCATTGCTTAACTGAGAGAGCCGCCCAGGTGCCCCTGGAGGGGGACTTTTAAAAGGCAAGCTTGAATGATGCTAAGTTCTAATCAGCAGCTGGAAAGATGGGCTGTCTCAGCTTAAGTTCTAATTCTTAAGGGTCGTTCTTCCGTGTGTGACTGAAAAAGCCCACCTTTGCCAGTCTTTCTCCTTTGCCTTAGGTAGAAGCTATTCTGGATCTTTGAGACAGTGGTCTTTGGGCCATTCTCCTCCATGACTCTGTTTACCCGCTCCGAGCTCTCCCCCACCAAACAGGAACTCACGGGCCACACCAACCATTAAGTTGCACTTCGGGTTTCCCCCCAGGTCAGATACCCACCAACCACAGCCTCCTCCCCTCTCCGACTCCAAGCTTTGGTTCACAGTCGTGCCTTCATCTCATTCAAGATATCCCAAAGGCAAGGGTTAAAGAGGGAGGGAAGGAGACAGGCAGAGAAGGTGGCCGGACACCTGCTCTCTCTCTCTCTCTCCCGCACATACCATTCCAGAATCTCCCTTCCACCTGGATCTGGGCTGGCCCCACACACGTCCCCTGCCGCAGCTGCTGTCCTTCCCAGCAGCTGCTGCACTGCTGGTGTCCAAAGCCGGTGCAGGTCTCACAGGCCGGGTGGCAGCGCTCACATCGTCCCAGCTCTGGGTCAGCATAGAAGCCAGGGCCACATCTCCTGACACAAGAGCCGTCTGCGGGAGGACACAGAGAGGGAGCATGGGGGTGGGCCCCTGGCAGGTTCGGCTGGGCGCCCTGTGCAAGGCTGGGTTCTAAACAGGCCGAGGGGAAACTCAGGAACATTCTTTGTTTGCATTTGTTTTTAAAGAAACCAAACTGGCCTCAGTTTATTTTAACCAAGAAACGTGTCTCCAATCCAACACGTCAGTCTGCTTTTAACCAAGCATTTAAGTTTGCTCCAGGGGTGAAGGAGTGAAGGGCATCGAGTAAAGAACTTTGGATTCTCAGGGCCTTGGAGAAGCACGAATCAAACAAATCTCCGTAGAGAACCACAGAGGTCAGTGGGGGCTGATCTGGCAAAGATTAGGGAGCCTCTGGCCGGTAGTCCTTCCCCTGGAAGACCCCTAGGATGGTTCTTTCATAACCAACAGACCCAAACTGAAGACAAAGGATCTTGTAGATCTTTAACAGTGCTTAGGGATATATAGTGTGGATTAAGTCCCCAGGAAAGAGTCATGGTTCTGAATATTCTAGGTGATTTGTTCTAAGGCATTTACCTTCAATGTACCCCCACCCCCGCCCCCGTCCCTCTTGCATCCATCAGCTTGGCGATGTCGGACATTAATGAGCGACAGGCACTCTACTTCAGTAATAGAAGCAGAAGGAAGTATTGCCGGCTAATGTTCATTTTCAAACCAAATTAAGATCCATCCTTGGACAAGAGGCACAGGAAGAGTGTGAAACCAGTCAAGTGCGTGCTCTCATTTCTGGGTGGGGCTCGGGAGCCTTGTCCTTCCTTTGTACCACCCTGCGCCTCTCAGGCTTACCCAGGAGAAAGAAGCCCTCTTCACACCAGTAGCACTGGCGCCGGTCACAGTTGCCGCAGTTGGTCTCACACGCTTTGCATTCGGATTCTTCTCTGTAGGTCTTCTCAGGACAGGTCTTGTAGCAGTGCTGTTCAAACCTAGGGGGTAGGAGAGGAGGCAGTTTCCTCCATGAGGTACATTGACGTTGTTTCTCTTTACCACCAGAATTTAATATCCTGACATCTGTCTACACGTCATTTTTAACAGGTATAGATATTTGGGTGTCAAGGACAAAAGCTTGGTCTTTGTGTGCTCACCAAACATGTCATTGGCCACTTCCCTCTGGACCCCGAGGACCCAACATCAGCGCAGCTGTCAAGAGCTGGGGAGTAGGAAAGGGGTCCCAGTGTTTATTTATGGAGTACTGATGGTGCATGAAGTCCTCATTTCAACCTCCATGCGATTCCCAGATGGTAGCTATTATGTCTTTAATTTCTAGATAGGGGAACTGAGTCTCGAGGTAACAGGCTCAGAGTCCCGTACATAGTCAAAGTCAGGCCTGGGATTTGAACATCTGTTCGTTCTGTCACATGGCAATGGGAAGGGGAGGTGACGTGGAGACCTCCCATCTCTGACTTGTAAAGCTGAATTGGAGAACTTTGGGAGTGTCTGTTAATCTGTGTTTCATTTACCCTAGTGCTCTGTGTCTCTCGTTACCCAGGGAGTGATTCAGAGCTCACAAAGTACCTGGCTTCATCCTGGATTTTCTCACTCCCATTAAGGACATGGTCTCCACATGGACATTTGGAAACAGCTCAGTGTTGAGTTCAAGTAACTTACCAAAATGTCTACTAGATTTTTTTTAATTATTTTTTTTAAAAAGCTAGATTTTTAATATTAAGAATGAAGTGGCTTAGGTTTTATGTATTTATATTTTTAAGGATATTGTCCCTTCTCATTCTACAGTAGAATGTTGTATCTCATTTTTTTAAACTTATTTTTTTAATTTTAATTTTTATTTACATATTTATTTTTGAGAGAGACAGAGCATGCACACAAGTGGGGAAGGAGCAGAGTGAGAAGGACCCCCCCCCCAACCCCCCTGTCCCACCTGCCTCAGCTGAGCAAGGAGCCCAATGTGACACTCTTGATCTCAGGACCCTAGGGATCATGACCTGAGCCAAAGCAGACGCTTAGCCCACTGAGCCAGTCAGCCACCCCAAATGTTGTATTCCAGACTCCACTGAATTAGGGGTCCGTTTGAAGGGGCTGACCTTTGCCCTTTGGTGAATTTCATAGCATCAACGAAGTATCCAAGGAAAGCTTTGTATTTCTTCATTAGCACCTTCTATGATACAATGTTTTATTCACTATCTTCAAAGTTACAAAACATTCTATAGGGTTATACTTGTGTGTTTCTGGAAACAAACATGATGTCCTTTACCCCCAGGGGTACTGGGCTTGTTCCTTCCCTGTATTTGTTTCTCCAAGGGTTTTATGGGACCTTCAGTGGCCAGCGGTGCGCAGGCGTGGCTCATCGGGCTGGCTACAAGGTGGAACAGGGCCGGGACAGGGGAAGCAGTTGCAGGTGGAGGGCTGCGCTATCCTGTCAGCTTGAGGAAGGATGCAATTACACCAGAGGGACGCAGAGAATGAGGACCTAACAGGAGAATTCCTCACCTATGTCTTATTTTTTCCTCCTCACCCACTTCTGCATGGTGGTTATTTGAGTCTAAGTTCTCTTTCCTCGGTTCTTTGAGGAACATTCTGTGCCCCCGACCATGTGTCCTCACCAAAGAGTGTTTGCATGTCTGCTGTTCGTCTCTGCCCAGGGTGGTCTGTGGTGGGCTTTGTGGTGGGTAAAGGCCAGCTATGAACATGCTGACAGATGGCTTTCTTCTCCTTTACTCGTCTGCTCTACCCTGCAGCAATCATGTCTGGGGCCTCTTCTCCGTCCCTCCTCCCCTGTTCATGGAGCAGTGATTTAAATCAGTGGGTCAGAAATGCGGAGACACAGAGTTCATATAGAGAGCATCAGGCTACTCTACCAGAGTTGAATGAAAACTATAAGCTTAGGTAATGATAAGGCTAACTGACTCTTTGTGATAAGCTTCAGCTTTCTGGGCTCCCCTTTCCCTCCCAAGCTCCTGACCTCTGTCAGCATCTTTTCTACCCATGACCATCCCTCAGGGGTGCTAGAGGCGAAAGGCAGTGTGGTAACAGGAGGAACCAGCCCACTTAAGTTGAGGTGACCTGAACCTGGATGCCCTCCCCCCACCCCCACGCCCCCGCTGGCTTGTGGTGTAACGTGAGGAAACCCACAGCCTCTCTGACCTTCAGTCTCTTCCTCTGGAGAGTAACGTCAATCTCATGTCCCTGGCATGAGAGTTTGTGGAAAGGTGAAGAGAAGAACTGGGGGTGAGGCCATCACCCGGTTCTTAGTGTCACAGGGAAGAATTACATAGTTTATGTATAATCCGGGCCTTCTTTTTCTTCTCCTCTACCTTCTTTGCTTTTCTTCCAAGATAGGAACCAGTGTGCCCTAGGAGGCCGACTAGGAAAGGAAGGGGAGGCGACATGGAGACCTCCCATCTTTGACTTGTAGTGTTGAATTGGAGAACTTTGGGAGTGTCTGTTAATCTGTGTTTCATTTACCCTAGTGCTCTGTGTCTCTCATTACCCAGGAGGTGATTCAGAGCTCACAAAGTACCTGGCTTCATCCTGGATTTTCTGAATCCCATTAAGGCCAAGGTCTCTATGCAGATGTTTGGAAATAGCTTGCTTGGGATCAGGTCTGTCATTAAGGTTTGTCCGTGAACTGCAGGGTCTGAAAACTGGTAACCCATGGCGAGATTCCTAGACACCAGTGTCAGGTTGGGTGACTTCCAGGACCAAGAAAAAGAGGGCCTCCTTTGGAGGCAAGAAAACAGCTGGGCTCTTATTGCTAAATCCAAGAATTGTTCATTAATAGCCTGACAGGGCACAGTCGCTTCTGGCTGCCCGGCCTCTTTGCTTTAATCACTGGATTGAGGATTAAGTCAGTATTGCTTAAACTGCAGAAAAGTTAGTGCCATAAAAAAATAAATGTCAGACTTACATGTAATACCCCGTAGTGCATGATGTACAGGTTCCTGGATTATCTGGAAGAAAATTATAATAATGAGACATACTAATTACCAAGAGTTCATCATTTGGCAAAGGGGCTCTGGAAAATTTGTGGCTTGAGACAAATAATGTTTTGGAGGTCTTTCATGAAAGGGACCCTCCGGAAATGACATTTGCACAGATTATAACATTTTTTAAAAAAGATTTTCTTTATTTATTTGACGGACAGAGATCACAAGCAGGCAGAGAGGCAGGCAGAGAGAGAGGGGGGAGGCAGGCTCCCCGCTGAGCAGAGAGCCCGATGTGGGGCTCGATCCCAGGACCCTGAGATCATGACCTGAGCCGAAGGCAGAGGCTTTAACCCACTGAGCCACCCAGGCGCCTCCAGATTATACCTTTTTTTTTTTTTTTTTT